TGAAAGCTATTGAAAATTATTGTCTTGAAATGGGGGCAATGATTAAATCAAGAAACTAGTCTCCAATGTGTTAGGGATACACAATGGAATTCACATTATGGTGCTTTGATTCGTTTGATTACAATGTTCTCATCTGTGGTGGATGTGCTTGACATGATTGTTGAAGATTGCTACTATGATAGTGTTGGTGAAGCAAAAAGGTTATTAAAAGATTTACAATCTTTTGAGTTTGTGTTCCTCATCTTTTTATTGAAATTCATATTGGGAGTTAAAAATGATTTGGCACAAGCATTGCAAAAGAAAGATCAAGGGTTGTGAATGCAATGACTTTAGTCAAGACATGTAAAGAACAACTACGTTGCATGAGGAATAATGAGAAATTTGATCTTTTGGTTGATAAAGTATCATCTTTTTGTGTCAAACATGAAATTGAGGTACCTAATACGGATGGTTCATATGTCATTCAAGGGAAGTCATTGCGTAAGGCTCCAAAAAAGACCAATCGTTATCATTACAAAGTGGAACTCTTTTTTGAGGTCATTGATTTCCAACTTACAGAATTAGATGATCGCTTCGCTGAAGGTAATATTGAATTGCTTATATGCTTGGCATGTGTTGAGCCTGAATGATTCATTTATAGCGTTTGATAAAGAAAAGATTGTTTGCCTTGCTCAGTTGTATCCTAAATATTTCAAGGATCTAGTTAGATCAGCACTTCAAGATCAACTTGATATTTATATTCATTTTGTGAGTTCTGATAATGATTTTTCTCAATTGCAAAATTAATGATCGTGCTAAGAAAATGGTGGAGAAAGGGTTGCATCAAACATTTGCATATGTATATTTGCTTGTTCAGTTGACTTTGGTTTTACTAGTTGCAACCGCTTCAGTGGAAAAGGCATTTTCCGCTATGAATATCATTAAGGTCAACTTCGCAATAAAATGGGAGATCATTGGTTGAGTGACAGCTTAGTTGTTTACATTGAGAAAGATGTTTTTTCATGTATGGGTAATGAAGCTATCATGAAACATTTTCAGACTTGGAAACCTCAACGTGGACACTTTAATTAGGATTTTATAGCTTGTAATGTTGTTTTTGTATGATTTTTGAATGAAATGTATTATAATTTCTTTTCAATGTTATTTTTGTCTATAAATTTTTTGACCTTTATTATTGGGACCACCGAGTTTAAAATCTTAAATTCGCCACTGACTCTAAGCAAGTTAGTTTAGCTGACACTGTGAAGCCAAAAATAATTCAAAACAATACTAGAGCTAACATGTAGACTTCTATTCACATTTGACAAGAATGTTGTCATAAATTGGCGAGGCCCACATTTCATTCCACTGACAGTTTAACCAACAAAGAAGCCTAAGCCTTAGACTAATATTTCTCCAAGCTCATTTGCACATAACAAGGAGATAAGGTAAGGGAATTAAAGCTAGAACTAATAACTAATTCCTACCTTTATGCTTTCCTAATTGAAAACATGTTCCTTTATTCAAAGAAACGCAATTAAATCCAATCAAGGTATTCTCCAAATAGAATTCTTAGATATTATCATATATTTAATAATACATGTAAGGACTTTTCTTAAACATCTTTAAGATATTTCAACATCTCAAAGATATTTTCCTACTGCATCAAAGGGATGACACACTTTGGTCAATTGGACACGGACATGTGGCATGGCCTTTCCCACACACCATGGCCGCCCACTAGCTTCCATGAATACCCTATCACCAATTCATTCTCTGTAAATTGATCCTATGCAATTCAACCCAAAATCTCTCTCTCTCTCTCTCTCTCTCTCTCTCTCTCTCTCTCTCTCTCTCTCTCTCTCTCTCTCTCTCTCTCTCTCTCTCTCTCTCTCTCTCTCTCTCACACACACACACACACACACATTGAAACTATCTTAGGCATCAAAGGTAATTGGACAACCCCCCTCCCCCCTAGGCGCATGGCTTTGGCCGTAACCAAGGGAGTTAATTTGTTTTGTTGGTATAATTTCGTCAAATCTAAGGGCGGCAGAATTTTGCAAAAACAAATTGGTGCTTTCATTAAGAGCTTGATTTAAATCTCAAAAAAACTCTCGCAATATTTTTTTTTTCAAATTTCTACCTCTTTTAATTTTTCTAATGCACCCCCATGTCCGATTTTTTTTAATTCTTCGATTCACGTGCGATAGGAAAGAAAACATGGTTGGAAATTCTGAACCACAACGAAAGGTTCATAAGCGCCTCGTCCCTGCTCTGTCCCTCCTTGTGATAGAAAATGGAGGCTGGGCGATTGCCTCCTCTCCTGACCCCTGTCACATCCTCTCAAGCCAAAATCGTAGCAAGAACGGCAGCGACAACACCAAAGTGCACATTAAATCAGGATAATTCGGAACTTGCAAAAAGGAGTTAGGCAAGAGTACTAGCAAAAGGAAGATGTGGTATTTTGGGTTTAGGATAATGAGTTTGAAAGAATGGTTATTGTACATTCATACATATCATTTACATAGGAGGCTTGAATTTTTATAATTTCGTGTAGTCTTGGATCTGTGATATTTAGATGGGATTAATATATAAGAGTTGGGAACTTAGCTATATACTTTCTATTTTATTAGAAAGAACACTATCAAGTCTATCAATCATCACTACAGTTTAGTAGTATTCCTATTATTATGTCTAGTCCATTTTAAAGCTTAGCTCAATCTCCTACCTCATACTATAGATAACATTCAGGGTGGCCCTGGCTCAGTACCAGCAGGGTGATTGTCTGAGGCCTTAGAAAATTGGGGGCACAAAAAAATTATTAGGATAGTGTATTCAAATATGTTTTCATAAGTGTATAAATTGAAACACGTTTGATTGAGTGAACAAGAAGTACATATAGAGGCGCTGGTTTCATAGTGTACTGAAAAGAAAGAGGTCTTGGGTCTTTGTGCGCCTTGTTTTTGTATGCCTTGTTCTTTTCAATTTTTTTACTATTTTTGTTTAATTGTTAAATTCTTTTTACCTTTGATTTTTTACTATTTTTTTATTGTTGATTTCTTCTTTGCAATTTTTTACAAATTTTTGTTTCATTGTTAAATTCTTTTTACCTTTGATTTTTTACTAATTTTTTTATTGTTAATTTCTTTTTACCTTTGATTTTTTTACTAATTTTTTTTTATTGTTTTTTCAAATTTTTACTATTTTTGTTTAATTGTTAAATTCTTTTTACCTTTGATTTTTTCAACAAAGTTGACCTCAAGTTTGATAAGGTTAAGGGGTGGTTTGGGAGTGAGGTGCTTAAAAAAAAAAGAACTTTAACGAAAAACACCCGGTACTGTTCACTTTAACGAAAAACCACATTTTTACACTAAAAAGTCAATCCTGGTACTATTCACTTTACCCTTTATTTTGTCCTTATCATTAAAACTCAAAGTTTTCAAGTCATTTTCATTAGTTTTCCTTAAAAAAAAATACCCATGAAAAAAAGCTGTGAGGATTTTAGGTGTTTGGTAAACTGAAAAAAAAATGGCTTATTTTGGAAGCTGCTGTGAGAATAAGCTGAAATCAAAGGAAAAAGCTGAAGCTGCTATTTGTAGCTTTAGAAAACTGGTTTTTTTTCAAAGCACACAGAGTTACAGTGCTCCTTTAATGTAAAGACTCACTATCAGACTGCTTTTTTTTCCAAAAGCACTTTTACAAAAAAGTTTATCAAACACTCTGCTGATTTATTTCACAGCCGCTTATTCTCACAGCACAGCCGCTTATTCTCACAGCAGCTTTTTTTCAAAGCACAGCAATACCAAACCAGCCTTAAGTTAGAGGATACTTATGGAAATATTATCTAGGTGAGATGAAGAGGGACATGGAATTGGGGACACAGACCTGGAGTTAAATTTAGGAAACTTTAATGAAAAGCTATTGGTACTATTCATTTTAACAAAAAAAAATCATATTTTTATACTAAAAAATCAATCATGATACTATTTACTTTATCCTTTATTTTGTCCTTATCGTTAAATCTCAAAGTTTTCAAATTTTTTTCATTAATTTTCTTTTAAATTTAAGAGCTCGTTAAACCTTTTTTTTTTTTTGAAAAGCGAGCTAGTTCAACTTTTGTCATTCTAGAAGCATGACAAGAAGTACAATTGGAGATGAATTTTTCAACTTCTTTCTAAATTTTAGTTAAAGCACAAATAGGGAGCCATCAAAGATGTTCTAAATATTGTTAGCAAAGTTTTTACAAATTATATTTGTAGAGAAATTCTCTTAAAAATGAAACTCTTCATGAGTTTTCTGCCGCCTCATGTTTTTTGTTCAATATTTTATAGCGTAATGCTATGGAGACTAAATTTCCAAACTAAATGTATCACCAAGGGGAATAAGCACATTTATCAACGTTTAAGTAATAAACCACTAATCAACTTCCATATCTTTTAGTTTTCAAAACTGTATTTAAATTTAATCTTCCTAGCTTTACTTTATTTTATAATGTCGACACAAAAATTAACATAAAATTTTCGGATAAAAGAGAATATATAAAAAACTCTACTTTAAGAGTCCCACTATGATGTAAAATTGACGTAAACCTGTATTAGTTATGCAGCTCCCCTTTTTGTTGAACAACTTTATACAGCTGCCCTTGAAGTTTGAATGCTAGTTTCAACTGTATTAATTGGCACCGACAAGGAAACTAATTATGTATGGGACCTGTTATAAAGAAGAAATTTTACTGTTCAACCGTATTAACATTGACAATATAAAACGTTTTCTGAGGCCACGGTCTGCTGTCTTCTGATTGCATTTAGTTTTGCGTCTCTGTACGAATTGACAACACAAAACGCGTCGGGTTTTTGGGGCTAAGCCCTGCTGTCTTCTGATTGCATTTATTTTTGTCTCTTTACGAATTTTTGGACATTTGACCCTCCATTCAGTCTAAAATTAACACTGTTAACTATTATATATTACTAATTATATAAGTTGAAGAAAAATAAAAACAACACAATCAAATAAACACCGGACAACAACCTACTCCAACCACCCCCAGTCACCTCCGAAGCTCATCCTCACGCAAAGTTCCTTTTCTTTTTCTATCTCTCTCCTCGAGATCCTTCTCTCTTGAATTCTTGCACTAGATCGTGATCCATTCATCCATCTAGTCAAACAACAAATGTTTTGTGGAGTTGGAAATTTGAGAATGGAAGATATAGTGAGGAATTCGATAGAGAAAGATCTCGAGGAGAGAGAGAAGGAACTTTGCGGTCGGTGAGGATGAGCTTCGGCGGTGACTGGGGGTGGTTGGAATCTTTCTTAAGCGGCAACAACGAACGCAAATACGCCCAGATCTTGTTGTTTCATTTTTGCTGAAACAGTATCAGTGAAATGTTTTCTGTCACAATTAAAAAAATTATCGTTGGTGAGGACGAGGAGAGGGATGAGGATCACTTGAGACAGTCTTTTGTTTTTCGATTTTAATTAACTAATCAATTAATTTTAGTTTTAATTTTTTTTCCAAATTAAAAAAGTAACATTTAACGTGAAAGTTGGTTAAAATTAGATGAAATAACACATGATAAATAATTAGATATGTGCTGAGCATACTTTATAATTATATTGCTTTGACAGCAGACCTCTTTGCTGGTCACATTATTCTATAAATACATGGCTTCAAGCAAACTGATGAAAGGTTTATAATTTGAATAGTATACATAAACCAACATGGAGGTTTGGGAAGAGGAACTGGAGCCAGTGAGCCCTAATGGCCACTATTTCAACAGCTCTGTTTTATCGATATCTGTTCTTGGTGTTTTGGAATTTGAAATTCCAATTGAGGACTCTCAAACTTTGTCATTGCTCGAGAATGTGTTCCTGCCCATCAACCCACGCTTCTCCTCTATAATGGTACTCTCTCTCTCCCTCTCTTTGTTTCCTTCCTTTTACTTGTTAAACAACTTTTCAAAAGCAAATTTTGTTTGAATAGTTAGTTGAAGGTAGGAGAATTATGTTAATTTTTGCATAAACTATCAAAGTCAGTTGAATTTAAAATTTATTACTTATACGGGAATATAAATATCATTAGATTTATAGTGAAATTCCTCTTAACTAAGTAAAAGATTTTAGGTTCAAATACATTTTCTATTTTGGGTTTTTGTCACAAATAATATTTGAAATTGACCAATCTCAATAAAATAATCATTGAAATTGAAAATCGATTATTGTAATCCTTAAAAATGAATATCGCAAATCAATATAATTCTTCCATTATAATTTCTTTAAATTTTTTGTTAAGTATTGATTTGACACATGAATAAGTTTTATAAATCTATTAAATACTACCATGTGAATCAAAAAATATTTAAATAAAAAAACTTTTATTTTTACAAAAAAATAAAAAAGACCGTTCATCATCTTCTTTCCTCTCCCACCGGGCAACCACTACAGCCCCGCACCACCCTGTCGACTGCACCTTCGGGTCGAGCGACACCGGAGAGGTTTCAGTTCGGATTATCGGCGCCGGATAGCACGAGAACCGCAAGAACGGGGGTGCGACCGATTGGACTGTCTGGAGCCGACCGATACGATAGCGGAACGAGAGATGTAGGTTGGGGAGGACATGTGGTTAAGCTTGGAGTCGATCAGACGGGGTGAGAGTGGAGGTGGTGGTGGTTTCATTGATGGAGGGGAGAGGTTGGGAGCTGAGGAGGAGGAAGAGGAAGGCGTTGGTGGTGAGAGAGTGTGGGTTAGGTGGTCAATGCTGGGTGGATGGGTGGGTGTGCGGGTATATGCATATGGCAATTGCATTGTGTATTTTTACAGGGTTTGGGTTGATGGCTGTGTCACTGTAGGAGTCGGGGTGTGTGTTCGGTTTTTGGGAAGGGGAAGAAGATGATGAACAGTTATCTTTTTTTTAATTTTATTTTAAAGTTTTTAATTATATAACAAAAACTTATTTAAATATTTTCTAATTCACATGGTAAAATTTAATTAGATTTATGAGTCCCAGTTATGTGCCACATCAGCATATAACATATTTTTTGACACAATTATGGCAGAATGACCACATTTATTTGTAATACCAATTTTCAGGGATTACGTTGATTGATTTTCAATTTCAATGATCATTTTGATGAGAGTCAGTTTCTTGAACTACATTTTTTACTGGTTTCAAAATTTTCCAGATGTGAGCATAATTTGTTATAGGGCAAACTACATTTCAAATTCTTCCGGCTTGGAGTGAATTATGAACAAGGTCATGAAGTGTGTTTTTTTTTAGGCACCAGAATGGGATTTTTTTTTTTATATAATGAATTCATACTAAACAATACAATTAAATCGTAGTATTAAGTGGTTGCCCCATAATATATTAAAATTGTATCACTTGATGCCTTTGGTCAGTTTGATTGTTTGATCTTGTTCGATATTCAGAGAGACGAAATATTGATCCATTCCTAACTTTATCGTCAAAAGTCTCAATAATATTAGAAGTGGGACCATACTTATATGTTGTATTTTATTTTCTCCCATCGAATGACATCCCCTAGCTTGATAAAGTTCTAGATCTAAAGCATTGTACTAGATCATTATGGTTATAGGGATGTGATATCCACATACCTCTTTTTACTTCTCTCACACATTTTTAGTTTTCGACAGTCGGATCGGATGAATTGAAGAAGATCAACGGACATAAATTAACAAGGGTGTGTGAGAAGTAAAAATAGGTGTGTGGATAGCATACTCCTGATTATATTGCATCAGTATAGTACGTTGGCTAAAAGTTTTTTGGGACGTTTGAAGTTTCTTTTGAAGTATTCTTTACATGATGTGCACTTTTTCATGAACAGTATTTATTTAATTTGGAAACAGATTGAAAACAATGGAAAGAAACAATGGAAAAGGGTTGAAGTGAAGCTTGAAGACCATGTTAAAACTCCAATTTTCCCTTCCAATTTGTCGAATGAATCTTATGACGAGTATTTTGATGACTATGTCTCAAGCATAGCTACTAAAAGATTTCCACAAGACAAACCACTGTGGGAAGTTCATGTTATAAAGTACCCAAATAGTAATGCAGCTGGTAATGTAATATTCAAGTTGCACCATGCATTAGGTGATGGCTACTCTCTCATGGGCGCTCTTCTCTCCTGCCTACAAAGGGCTGACAATCCTTCTCTTCCACTAACTTTTCCTTCACTGCTGCCATCAGAAACGAAGAGTGAAAATATTATGACCAAAACTATCTCATCCTTGTTGAGCACCGTATCAGATTTTTGGTGGGGCATTTCAAAGAGCTTCAAGGGGGAAGATGATCCATCACCAATAAAATCCTCGAAAAATGGACTTGAGTTCGCGCCAATTACAATATCAACGATTACGATCTCCCTTGATCGAATCAGATTAATTAAGAGCAAGCTCGGAGTGGTAAGTATCAAGTTTTCTTTGCAATATTTTGGTTTATGCATGTGTGCATCTATTTTTTTCTTTATAAAATACGAGAATAAGCTTTCATGTTTGACCTTCCTTCTCCTGTTTAAAATAAAAGTATATGTTGTCGCTTCTTTTTAAGCCATTTGTTCTCGGAACTGAATATATGTTTAGCCATGCTAACCGTCTGCTTGCAAGTCAATCTCAATGCCTTAATGTAAACCTAAAAAGGTCTGAAAGCCGTAACAAAAACCTACCCCGTGCATGGTGGGCATGATTATTACTAACCACTAAAATTTAAAGTACAAAATACTAAAGAAAGTCTAAAACTGCCTAATTCTTTTTTTTTTAAATTTTTTTTTCAAAGTCAATGTGTCTACTTCATCCTAAATTCCTAACTAGTATATCTGACCTATTGAAGCTAATGAAGAAGCCCTGAAACCATGATTTGTTCAACTATCCATTAAAAGAACACATAATTTATCCATAAATTTCACCATAATGGTCTTGATATTGTTGAAGCTCAAGGTGAACAGTTAAATTGGGGACTTTGAGTCCTTAGACTCCCCATACATTATACTTTCATATTGATCTTTTAATGGCTAGTAACAAAAATCTCTTACATATCATTGTTTAAAATATTGAGACTAACAAAAAAAATAGAATGAAATACACACACAAAACGCAAATCACCAAACACCATATTTTCAAATTTGTAAAAAATTGTAACACAGTTAACTTATTTACTATCACAGACGATAAATGGTGTTCTTACTGGGATGGTCTTTCTTGGCTCCCGGCTATATATGCAAGAGATGAACCAAAGCTCAAGGGAAGCGCATAGCACAGCATTGGTTTTACTAAATACAAGGATCATGGCGAATTATACGTCGATTGAAGAAATGGTCAAACCCGATAGCAAGAGTCCATGGGGAAACCATTTTACATTTGTGCATGTTCCCATTCCCAAGTTGACTGAATTCTCAAATGTGCTTGACTACGTTTGGAAGACACATAAAATAATCAAGCAGAAAAGAAATTCTTCAGCTATTTATTTCACTAGTGGGCTATTGAAGATGCTGAACAAGTTTGGAGGCCCCGAGGTTAGTAAATAAGGACTCATTTGGTACACATGATTGGATTGAAATGGAGAATTTTCAAATTTTAAGCTATATTGAAGGTGGATGTTAATGATTTTCATTTGGAATGAATTAGAACAGGATTAGCTATGAAGAAAATTCATTTATGAAGGTTTAGAATGAACAAATTTTCTTCATGAGTAATCTATCTTCAATTCTCTCAATGGTCATAGTTGTATTATTTCTTTATTTTTTAACGTACTTTTAATTTAATATTCGTTCCATCCAATCATGTGCACCAAACATACGAAATGCATGTGATATTTCATATATACAACATTTATCTAAAAATTATAAGGCTACTGGTGCAGGCAGCATCAAGATACGTCTGTAGCACATTAAAGAACTCGAGCGTGGTGGTCACAAGTATGATTGGCCCGGTGGAAAAAATGTCTTTGGCAAACCAACCAATCAAGGGGTTTTACTTTTTGACAGTTGGGACACCTGAGGTAAACCAGATATTACTAGATGAGTAATGCTAGAGAGATTAAATTTGTTGACAAAGTTTTAAAAATTAAAAGACATGAAAGTTGATGATTGATTTATTACTTAAACATTGATAAACATGCTTATTCTTTTTTGTGACATCATTTAGTTTGCAAATTTAGTCTCCAAATTTAATCTTCCTAGCATTATCCTTACTATATCATGCACACACGTACGGTCTCAAAAGTTTTGGAAACAATAATATTCATCGTCCGTTTCTGTAATCAGATACATAATAAATTAAGGTTTGGTTGATTAACAAGGGCT